AAAGTGAGAGCTATATAGTGACAGAGAGGGCGGACAGTGGGAGTCTGTGTATGAGGGGAAAGGAATGAAAAAATTGTAAGCATATGAGACAGAAAGAGTCTGGAGTGCATGCAGACTTGGTTGAGTACTTGACGTTTCAGCCTTTTAATTTCCTCTTAAAATCATTACTGTCAGTGTTTGGCATAGAATCAGATTAGGTGAGCTGAACTCTATTTTGTGTATCTGCCTGCGTGAAAAGAGTGTCAGAAAGTACAAGTGAGTTGGTGGGTGTGGATGTGATTAAACGCACATGAATTTGTGTTTCCGTGTGCACACGCACAAACTCGCCTTTGGATTAAGCAAAGCCAATGGGTGTAAATACAGCAGAAGTGGAGTCAGCAGCAGGAGCAGACGTGATGCACACATCGCAGAGAAAATGGTTAGACAGTGCTTTAAGGAGCTTAGATGGGGGAAAAGTAGGAAATATGAGGGGTGAGGGGAGTGAGGGGGGGAGTTAGAGAGCAAAAAGGCACAGAGGAGAGGAGAGGGGGTGGTGGTGTCAGTATGCTATGACTTCCAAAACAGGAATTAATCCAATAATCGCTTGGAAATGTTTTGCATATTTCTTCATTCTTCTCTCGTACATAACAGACTATCATCTGGTACAAGTATGCGTGAGACCTGTCAAGACCTTGGAGACACCATGCATGCATGCGACGACAAATCCCATTGCTGTAGGGTTAGTGCACACGTGACGCCACCAAGGGCTGGAGATCCAGGGTCTTTAAGTTTGTCTGCCGCTGATTTTAAGTGTCGCTCTGAGTGCCACAAATGTCAGCAGCTCTTCTATAGGCTTTGCCTCCATGTCAGCTCATTAGCACTTGATGCTAAAGCACACACACTTCAAACCCTCCAGAGCCTGAGAGTTTGTAAATTAACTGCCAGCAATGCAGACGAGAACAGAAAGACTTCTCATCCTTGTAATGTGATCCATTTATCACCATTTCTCATTTTCTTTCAGTCTTTGTCCTTGCTATCTCTTACTCAGGTTTCTTTGATCAAACATTGACTACTGTGCGCTCTTTAGGTGCCAGGGAGCAAGCAAGCAACACAGAGACATACACTGGAACACACAAGGGCTGCAAGGTGACTATACAGACATTGTCTCAGAGCAGACAGAAAGAAAACACTGGCAGGCACAAAGTGCACAAAATGAGCTAGATAAAGGCAAAAAAAGCCTGTCCATAGAAACGAATAAAAGAATGAGTCAGTGAACAAATAACTGACAGCCTGGGATAAATTATGTTGCTGACTTGCAGATCTTGGGTTGGGTATCTATGCTTCTCTCTTCAGCAGTTTATTATTAAAGAAATATTGAAACATTTCAAAATTCATTTATTCGATTCCACTCTCATGTCTATACAGTAAATATAGCTTAGCTTAGCATAAAGACTGTAAACGTGGAATACAGCTAGCCTGGCTCTGTCCAAAGCTAACAAAATCTGCCTAACAGCACCTCTAAAGCTCACTAATTAATGTTTTATCTCATTTATTTGTTCCACACAAAAACCAAAGTGTAACCTCAATAATTTGCTTTTACATTAGGGGTTATATGCGGGACAATTTCTTGGCCGGGAGAAGCAACTTCCTGGTGTCGCTGCTGGTTGCCTGCTTCCAGCTAAGAAAAAGTCAATGGTTCAACTGACAACAATAAATGCAAAGCTAAGCTAACTGGCTGCTGGCTCCAGATTCACATTTACAGATGATAGTGTTATATTTTCATCTAAGGCTCTGCAAGAAACGTACTTCCCCAAATTCCTTTAAAATACAGATGCTGACATCAATGGAAACAGAAGGACTGAAACAAATGGGGGAAAAAAAACACTATCCATTACTGTGTCTACTGTTCAGTTACAATGTTGCTGGATTGTCTTAATTTTTTAAGACAGCAACTACACAATCCTCTCGTCTTGTAGCTTTAGCACACCTGCATACTGTATCAAAGCAAGCCCATTCACCTCACCAAGTCAGTCATGACTGGTGTTACACTTTTTCACACACGTGTAAGACTAAAATACTAAAAGCACACACTTCAGCTTCTTAATTTTGTCTACCCAACCTCTGCATGATGGAATGATACACTGCGACAAAATGTACCTAAATTACACTCTAATGAGCCCGCAGTACACGTTCCCAAAGCAGCAGGTGATGAACAGAATGTATCCAGGCAAATCTGATTGTGTAAAAACAAAAAATAAAAAAAATGTAGCTGTACCTTTAAGCAGTGGTCTTTTAGGTAAATCAAAGTAAAACACCATTACCAAAGGTCTGCCAATTATAAGACACAAATGCCTTTGTTTCTGAGCAAGGAGCTCCGCTAAGCAGCTGCCTGGGGAATTAACTCAGTTCCCTGCAGTTTTCAGCAGTGCCATATTCTGTCTTTTACAGGGCTGGCACTTGTTGGCATTTTCTCTCCAGAAATATCCACCCTCCTTGCCCAAGGGAAGCTTACCTCTCCCTTAATGTGTAAAAATCCTTCAGTGACAGAGTAGCTCCCAGCATACACAGCAGACAGAGTAAATCATGTGAAGGGTAATCCAGAGGTCAAAGATCAAACGGAGCGAGGCAGGGGTCACACAGGGGTAACTGAGTACAATTAGTTAGTGGTATTGATGAATGGCCAATTAGAGGAGTTGACTGGGGCATTGCAGACCAGTCAACATCAACATTAGTTATACACAGTATGATTAAAAGCTCAACCAAGAGTGTTTCAATGAAACATAACATAATAATAACACACACACACACACACACACACACACACACACACACACACACACACACACACACACACACACACACACACTCACAACTTTTTGACCTACATCTTCCATGATTAGCTATGCACAAATAGGACTTCCTCTGCTCTGCCTTGCCATGAGTGAGAAGAAGATTATAAGTTAGCTGCCACTGCCACTGGTGAGCTGAGCTGGAGCTTGGACTGGAGCTGGTCTCCTCCCAGATTTGGGGTAGATTGGGGATTTCAAAGTCAAGAAAGTTCAAAGCCTTGGCTGGGGAATGTTCAAAAGAACCACAGTCAGCCATGAAGTGCAGAGGAAAGGAGGGGGGAGAACGAGCTACTTACAGTAGACTCTTCCACAGTCTGTAGAGTGACTGTGAATGGCAGAAAAAAGGGTGTGAAAAAGGGTAAATGCTAGTAACATAAGTTGATGAGAGGTGCTGAGCAGGTGAAAGTTCTGGTAGCACAAATCATCAGTAATGTAAAAGAATGTGGGAACTGCATTATCCTGAAATGAAAGTGTTGTTCTATGGTGCTGAGAACATCACTGCCGTTGTTGTGTTCGCCTTGAGACCCAATGAGATGATTTTTTGTTGCACAGGAAATGTTAACAATGTCTCTTGAAATGTTTCTAACATATTCTTACACCCACACCTTCATGACATGAAAAATGTGAGACCATTAAAATGTTCTTTCTTTGGGAATTAGAAATAGAAATCCACTGGCAAACATGCACCTCTCTATAGATCAAACAGCCAATATAGTCTCTGTGTGCTACACAATGCCATTCATTTGACACAATCAAACAATGGCAACACCCTGGGGACAGAAACATCAATGGGATTTCCTTAATCTAGATGGCTTTGGAGATTTACAGTATAAATTCACAGGATCATGTCTTCAAGTAGGAGATTTACTTAAAAGTAGATAATCTACATGATGTTATAGTATATCAAGTAGCCTATGTAGTGCTTCTTTTACACAATGCAGTGTGAAAAGCATATGTAGCTTTCACCCAGTAAAGTTCACTCTCCAAGTTTACTACAGACTACAGGGCAACTACAATACCTGAGTTTGGTAAATAGCATCTAAAAGTGTTGTCTGGGAAATATCTACATTGACATGCACAGCCTAAGGTCCTACTGCTTTTACTTTTGCTGTCTATGTATACACATATTTATACGCCATTACAGAGAACCAAGAAGTGGTTCATGCTATAATCACTATCATATTGTCCCCCAGTGTACTAACTTTGCTAATGCACTGTTAAGTGCAGCAGCCACCTCTGGTACACAAAAATATTCTGTTAATTGGTTTATTGTAGCAATAAGGATGCTAATTTGCAGAGTAACCACAGTATAGTAATAACTGGGTTTCTCTAGGCCAGTAAACAATGAGTAAGAGGTAAAAAAGTGAACACAGTTCTCTTTTTATACGATGCTGATCCAACTTAAAAGTTCAATATTTTTTAACTTACACTATAGTGTAAATCAGTTTCACTGCAAAATTCTGTGGTTTCATTTTCATTAGTTTTTTGTAAAAAGGGTCCAATAAGATAAATACACAAAAGATAGACACTCATAGTAAAAGATTTCAGGCCTGCAGATGCAGCCAGCTGCTTTAGGTCTGTAGTGGTGGAATTAGCTCCAGCTAGTGCCTCTCTCTGTTGTTTTTCACCCTGATTCAGCAGTCCTAGACTTTAGACAGAGCCACTGAAAGCTCAGTGGCCACGGGGAATGCCAGCTCATCGACTATTATAATGACGGCCTCCCTATTGCTCTCCGTCTCTCTCTGCCCTTCTCACCAGCACACCATCCCAATTGTCTCTCACTCTTTCTGTTTTCGATCTGTCTTTCTGTCCTTCTTACTTAACAAAGGCTGGTGTGAGTGTGCATGATACAACTGTGGCAGTACTGAAAGTTCATAGTCAACATAAATGCACAGAATGAACATCCCCATGGTAGGAATGGATGGATTAAAGATTTTGCTCTTTGGCAAACTGCAAACAAAGGTATCATAATGAAAGTTACAAGCTATAAAATGAGCAACTCTTTGTGAGAATGGCAATAGCTCAACAGTCTTGTCTTTTTCAATCAAATCTTCCAGATGGTGACTTACCTTGTTTCAGTAACACAGAAGTCAAACAACTTAAATAGAATCAGTACACCTTCTTTGTTGCTGATATGAACATATCGCATGTGTTGTAAACTGGAGGACTAACCTTGAGTTTATCAAAGCGTTCAGTGAGTGAGGACACTTGGTGCTCCCGGTGGCGCCCAACCAGCTTGCAGAGAGCACAAATGAGCTGGTCGTCCACCAAGCAGTACATGTTGACCTTCTCATTCTCGTGCTCCAGGCAGGTCAGCCCACGAATGTGAGTGTCCGGTACCGGCTCCACCAGGCGGTGGCTGGTGAATGGCTTCTTGTTGGGGTGTGTTGCACGCAGGCATCGGTCGCAGTACGATACCTCACACGTGACACACGTCTTGACAGCCTCACGCGGCGGATCCTGCTCGCAGAACTGGCAGCTGATACGTGGATCCATTTTAGCAACGACAGCTGGGCTGTGGTTTGCGTTGGTGTGGTTGGTGTGATTGGTGTGGTTGGCGTGCGGGTGGGAGTGGCTGGAAGTGGCCGGGCTGCCGCGGGCGCTACTTCCACTTGTGCCACCACCGCCGCCAATTGTTCCAGCTATTGTACCGCTAATGGTGGCGGTGTAGGGCCGCTGCGGCTGCAGGCGCCGGCTCTCTGTGGGGGAGTTGGGGCCGCTAAGGGAGGCCTTTTGAAAGCGGTCAATGATGTTCTGCAGCGTCACATTGCGCTTAAGGCCCTCCAGGCCGCGGTGATTCAGCGTGATGACGTAACGACAGGTGGGGCACTGAAAGGCCGAGATGGACTCAAGGGGCTTGCTGGTAGAGCAATGAGACACCAGGATGCGGTGTGCGCAGTTGAAGCACAGGCTGTGGGCGCAGGGCAAGAGCAGGGGATCTTCAAACAACTCCAGGCAGATCGGGCAGGTCAGCTCAGACTCCAGTGTTTCCATCTTCAGTTGAACCAATCTAAAGGTGACATCAAATCCCACGGAAGCTGGCCAATAACCTGCATGACGAAGAAAAAGATGTATGAGTATTTACAGTTTAAATTAAACAGGCCTCTAATGAGCAACTTTACTGTACTTTTGTTATTGGGCTATTAGTTCTTGAACAGAACAGCAGAAAGTGTACACAACTCATCAATTTGCCCAATCACTAATTTTTTATTTGAGCTGAATCAGTCATAAGATGTTGGCTTCTGGTAGGATGGAATAGCCTGTGAAGATTTTGCAGACATTTCACTAACACACATATTTTCTTGAACTATTATGTATCAGCTGCTCAGCTTGCACAACTGTGGACTGCCGAGCTCCCTTGTTGCAGCCTTTAACACAATTCCTCCTGCAGAGCCGTATGAGAAGAGGAGGAATGACTGCATGGACAGGGAGGAAAAAGATAGATGTTGGAAGAAGTAAAAATCAATGGAGTGAAGAGAATAGCAGAGAGAAGGAGAGACAGATGCACAGCAGCAGATGAGGATGGAGAAAGATGGGTAAAACCGAGGAACTCTGCATTTCTGTACCACCCTGAAAGGCTCTTAACATAACATTTTTCAGCTCTTCATTCTTCCTCATACATTTTACTTCCATCTTTCTTTCACCACTGACTTATGATTCATCAAGCAATAAACACTTAACTCCAAGGACATTTCAACTTTTAAAGCATGACCCCAACAACAATTTCAAGTGGGACAGTGAAAACAGGGCCTGAGCTAAACAAGAAAATTGATTTCAGTTCCTCCCCCTTCTTTCTCAGAGCCCTCCAAATCTCAGCACCTTGCAGACTGCATATCAAGCCGTCTCCCCTGGGTGGCCTTAAAACCACTGACATGAGAAATCACCAATAACCCTCCCTGACTCACGCTGATTCAGTAGCATAGGAGCACAGCTCACAGTGTCTCTCTATCTTTTAAAAGAAACAAAGCAGACACCGTGAAACTACAGCATTAAACTGGACGGACCCAGATAGCTGACAGTGACAATTTCATTAGGTGAGGTTGTTCCCGAAAGACTGCCCTCATTTCCTTCTGTGCCCTGCATGATTTACTGATGACTGGGCTTTACTGGTTATGACAAATCAAAAAGTGCTTTTTTTACCTTTGGGACAGGGCTTAAACTCCTGTGAGTGACCTCTCTGGAGCTTAGGTCATTGTATACATAATGCAGACAACGTTAGACACTAAAAAAACATTTAACTCACATGTTTTTGTATGCTCTTCTTCCAAAGTTTAAAAGTACAATTTCAAAGTGAGGAAGTGTTGAGTATGAAATGAGTAAGCATGACTATCCACAATGGGTGCTTATCAGTAAGTTTATCCAGTAAGCAAGAATTCAGCCTCCAGGTATTCCAACTGAATTCCAGTTTTAACACCTATTACTCAACAACTTTAAGCAACTTTAAACATGGTCTGTCCAAACCCGCATTGGATTTTTGTTCAACATCCCAGTATCCTGGCTTAGCTGACTCTTTGTCTGTACAGACAGATTTTCAGAAGCCCCAAAACCTGAAAAAATAAAATAGTGAACAAATTGTTCAACTTATTCCTCTGTCAGTCGACTAATCTATCAATGTCAGTCGACTAATCTATTAATTTACTTATGGTTGCAGCTCTAATAAACATCATGTCATTTTGCAGGTGAAATGTGTTGCTATGACCTTAATCAGTTGAGCCTGACAAAACATCATGCTGACGTGTGGCATTGTCCTCCTATTGAATTTATCCAATTGATCAGATTAGGGTATATTGAGTTAGCTCTGTCATTCACAGGTTATTTGTAATAACTTGATTGTGCTGTGACACTATCCTAACTCGGTAGTGTGAATTCAGTTGCGTTAAAAATCAAACGCTGCACAACCACCCACAATCTTTGGAACCAGCTGAGGACAAGCTGAAGACAGGACTATATAAAGACAGAAACAGAGCTCAAAGGCTCAAACTCATTTGCACTAACAAAAGTCTCCTCCCTTCTGCTGCACCAGAAACCATGCCTCGACACTGAGCTGTGTTCAAAGCAAACATGATTTGAGCAGCAGCTAAGTGCTTGGGAAAGGCGCTCAGTTGAAGAAAGTAGTTAGATGCATGCAGCAGCTTTGTAACAAAATTCATTATCTGGAAAAGAAATAAATAACCGCTCGCAGCCAACCATGCAGATATAACGCTGATAAAAGGCAATGGGCACTGTGCTTGTGTGCAACTGAGTGTGTGTTGTGTGTGTGTGTGTGTGTGTGTGTGTGTGTGAGCCTGTATGTTAATATACGTTTATGTATCGTACGTGTGCACATGCACATAATGTCCTCCAATATTCACCTTGGCTGCTATTTATCAGATGCTTTATTTGGTTGTTATCACACAGCCTGGCCGTGTAAGGGATAAAGAGAGAGAGAGAGTTCATAGGCGAGCTACCAGAGCAAGTATGAGGTTCTGCTTCATCACACCAACAATAGGTCTAATTTATCTCCACTTTATCAGATAGTTGATAACCGGGGGGCAGACGAATGGAAAAAACCAGAGAAACAGGATGTGTGTGTGTCTGTGTGTGTGTGGAGTGGGGGGGTTGGGTGATGAGGGGAGGCAAGGACAACCTTCAACACCTTTTGATGACAATCCAGGCCAGTGGCCCCAGGACTCAAGGTGCAAATATCACATCGCCTTTACACTATATATAACCATTAGCTTTAGCTTAGCTTCATTTGCTTCAATCTGAAGCCATTTGTTCAGTGGACCTTTCACTTCTGATCTCATTAACATTGATTCAGCAAGACAGACATGGGTAAGAGAGGCAGTTTAATACTTTAAAATATACAATTTCTACTACTTTCTAAAACAATCAGTGGAATTAAACAAATAAATCAGAAATGAAATTAACATTTTCACAAGTGAATGATGTTCTCTGTCACTGAGAGCAGCTTTAGGCTGAGCAGCCGTTCAGCTCCATATGACTTCTGTTTCAGCGTTGAATATGTCAACAACAGAAAACAAAGCACACATTCATTAAGTTTCTCAGGATACACACTGATTCAATGGTGAACTTTGCTCTGGAGTCAGGTAAAACTGATGCAAGAAAGAACAACGTCCATTTCCATCACGACACCGCAAATGATCCCAAAGAAGAAAATACAAGTTAATCAATACCTTATTACCAGCAGAAAATGATTTTCTACGACTCCTGCCTCTCTGTTCATCAGCATTTGACAAATAAAACACAGGAAGTCGCACAAATCCCGCAGTTCCCATCTTACACACAGAAATAAACCATATGTCATCAAAACAAATATGCCGTGGGATTGTTCATCTGTCGAGACAGCAGTATCGGAACAACAAAACAATCAACTATACACAGACCAAAACAGAATCAATGCCCTCAATAATTAAGAGCATCATACCAATAGAGATGAGTACATGATCTATATCCTGGATATGTGTCAAATTCAAATGTTGAATGAATCAGCAGTCTCACTTTATTGCGTAGGACAGAGCTCAACAGTGCTGCTTATGCTGATGTTAATGTGACTGTGTTTAACGGAGCATGGCGTTATAATTAACACCAAGCTTTAACACACCATCACCAGGCCCATTAAGCTTTAGCTATGTCACTCTGGGGAAACAGTGCCTATGATGGGAGCCACTTAGGGGCCGAATTGCTAGCTTCATGGTAAAGCCGTTTGTTCTGCAGACAGGCTGCCACACACACACACACACACACACACACACACACACACACACACACACACACACACACACACACACACACACACACACACAGACATTCACAAAAACATACACACACGCAGTCAGAGCGACACATTTACAAGCACAAACTCTTTCTGTCTCGTCGTCTCTCTTCATCTGCCATTCTTGTTAAGGTGAAGTGTCCCATCTGGACGGAGAACAGCTTGAGCTGGTGCTTGAAGGAAAACACACACACACACACACACACACACACACACACACACACATAAATATGTAAGGCACTCACTATGATATATTGTTGTTCTGGTTACTGTGGCAAGATTTTTAGGTCTCACTCTTGCTTTTTGCAGAACAGTTGATCATTGATGATTCATTCGTCTGAAGAAGCAGGGCTAGATAAATCATTTTATTCCGCAAATTCTAATCTGCTTTTTCTTTATACTTTTGCTTCTGACATCCTTTTAGCACAGGTGCAAGGACATATCCATAAGCAAACCATTTCAGTTTTAATGTGACTATGAGTGGCTCACTTAGATACTGAGATAGATAGAACACTGATATTGTGGTTTATCTCACAGAACAAGCTCCTTTATTTGAGTAGTCAAAATCCATTTTTGTGTTTACTTTGCCAATGGGAACTTGTATGAGCTTTATGTAGTGGTACAGTATACAGCTGATACCTGGTTAGGTCTTAAACACATCAACCTGGGGCAGAAGGGTTTGGAAGGAAACAGTTTAATGTCAATCAAGCTACTGTGGAGGTCAAAAGTTCAAGATGACGGATGCTGAAAAATTGCTCTCCTAAAAATATAATATAAATTGAAAATATTTATAGCTATGTGTTGTAATTGTTATGTAAAATGTAACAATGTCATTTCAATGCAGGGACCCAGCGTGTACCCAGCAACTGTGTTTGTTGTGACAGCATTTGTACCTAGTGTTTAAGTGCACAGAGGTATTTTTATGCTTCAATTAGATCCAATAAGTATGTCAGTAGTAATGAATTCCAGTACCAGTTTAGGAGACATGACCTTGGGGGAATTCCTTGAAATAGAAAACACTGATGTCACGGTTTCTGTCATTTCATAATGTTGCAAACATCGAAACAATAAAAGAGGCTGTTTATTTAAAAGCACAGTCACAGTCCCCTGGGTGTATGGTTGCATGTGTATGAATTCACTTTGTTGACGCAGGCATCATTCTAGAGAAAAGGCATTTGTGGAACAAAGATGATTATCCACGTACAAACAATCCACTTGTAAAAACCAAATTGCTCCCTCCTGAATTGCAGTCGCACAGCTGCAGAGCCAAAACAG